TGCAGGTTACCTTATGACTGCTGTTGTTCATTACAAGGGTGTTTCAGATCGCTGCTCTTCGTTTACTTGCTACTTTTAAAAGAATACGTCCCTTACCCTATTTCATGGCGTAATCGAGGTTTTCAGAGCGGTCTATTATGTTCCATGGTGACTAACGATGATAGACCACTCACATCAAATTTAGTACCGTAGGCCTAAAGCCAGACAAGAAGGTCCAGTTGCCTCCAGAAATCATGACAGATTGTTGAACGCCAATCTCACGTCACTTAGAATATCTCCCATCTCATTCGACAGAGAATTAACATGATTACTCAATTGAATTGAACACAAGAACCGTTGAAGCGAAACAATTCATACCAAATATAGCATTCATCAATACAGACTGTAGTTACCTAAGTACTAGTTTAATGGTCAAGCATTTTTTAAAAGATGAATCAGTTATACCATATCTAGATGGCGAAAAATCTGGTTTGGGTGAGCACTTAAATGAAAAACCAATTTGAATGAATGATCTGATGGACCTTGACGGTGCTCTCAAGATAATTCCCTCACAGAAAGAAAATTCACTTGTCACCCTCTTCAAAATTGCCTTAACTCTAAGTTTTTCTGTTTATTTTATCTATAATTCCACAGAGACGTCGACGTTTTACCCTGAACCAGCCTACAAACACCGTGCATGAAGGATTGGTCAGTAAGGAGGTTTAATGTAACTGCCGACAGTTTTCCGTTTCCCTCTGGATGGAGTGAACTGTTGACCTATGCTAAGAAGTAACAATATTGTACCCTCATGTACATAAGTCCGTTTGATACATTTCGACACATATCTACCAAACTTTGAATGGACGATGCTGATCAAAATATTTTCAGATCAGAAAGAATGTGAAGCTCGAAAGTAGGTTTTTAATACCACAGAAAAAATAAGAATGTGGTAAAAGACTCCTCGAGAATTCCAATTTTCCTAAAGCATTGAATTTTTTAAACAAATCATGCGTCAATATGAGCAAGTTGATGTTCCAGTAGCCTAACCTGAGAAAATTGGCAAGCTGCAAAAGATAATGGACAACAACTCAATCCACACGAACGAATCCAGCAGCCCGACCCGGGACGGAATAAAATATTTTTGATGTAAGGGCCTCAACACTCTGTCCGAAGTACTGTGAAGCCACCTGTTTCACAAAGTGGTCGACAGAAGTCTCTGCAACTAGCGATACCACGCAACCTCCCCATCCAGCGCCGGTTAGTCGACTTCCATATGCGCCTGCCGACCTGCAGTAAAAAGATCGAATTGAAAGCAGACATTTTCAAGAGTTTTAAAATGGGGATTGCCTTCACTG